GAGACCGACATCCCCGCCCGCTCCAGCTGCGGCCTCTCGCAAGTCTTCTCAGCCCCTCGCTCACCCTTTAGGGGGATGGGGCTAGTCTGGGGCTCCTCCCGGACTCCCTCTGTACTGCCAGCAGCCAGCCTCCCGCACCTAGTTACCCCACCCCAGTCTGCGGCCTACAGTGCAGGCCTCACAGCGTCGAGAGCTGGCCTTTCACCAGCGCCCACAGGGGAGAACGACCTGCCCCACCCTGCAGCCCCATTGCCACCGTGACCCCCAAACTTGTCTGACTTTGTGACTTTGCTCACGTCCCCCCGTGCCTCAGCACTGACTTGCCCAGGCCTTTCCCGCCTCTCTGCCCCCTCTCTCTGGGCCCGCCCCAGACTGCCGGTCAGGGGGGCCGCTCGCTGCCGTAGGTCTCCGCGGCCCCAGGAAGACTGATAGCAGGCCGGCAGGACTGGTTGCCAGGTCAAACACAGGATGCCCAGTTAAATCTGAATTCATTTTGTAAGCACAAAGTTCTCGTAAGTCTCAGTATACCCCAAATACTGCGGGAGATACGCTGACACTGAAACATTGTTTGAGGACAGCACTGGGGAAGGGTCACTCCATCTCTTCACTCCTGGGGGTTCCCTGCAGCCCACTTTGCAGATGTCGGGCTCTCCAGTCCCCAAGGGGGTCCCAGCTAGGAACAGCGACCCGGCCCCCATGAGGTGGGGCTCTGCTGGGGCAAAGCGAGCTGCACCTCATTTTTTCTGACTACAATGGGTGCGGCAGCCCAGAGTGCAGTTACCGACGTCCGGCACCAGGGGGCGCCAGGATCCAGGCCCACAGCCTTCTCCGCGCTGGCTGCGCCTGACCCCACGGTGCTCCCCCCCCCCCAGCTCCCCCTCTGTGCTCGGTGCAGTCCCTCACTTCACCTCCTCCCGAGCCCTGGAGCCATCCGTGGCTGCCGGCCCTCGACCACAGGCCCCACGCTCGGAGCCGCCCTCCCTGGCTCTCCCATCCGGCTGCCCTCTGGTCTGTCCGTCCACCTGTCGCCAGCCACCCACTTCTGCATCTGCCCACTCACCCACCATGGGGGAGCCCCCCGGGACGCGGCCCCTCCTTGTCACTCAGCCCCGGACCTCCCGGCTACCTCCCTCTGTCCCGACGCCCCCCAGGCCCTTATTCCCCGGCCCAGGTCACTGCAGCTCTGCTCTGTCCTAACCCCCCACCCCAACGCAGCGCTGCCATCTGCTGGGACTGATGCTGAACTGGCACCTCTGCAGTTGGGGACCAGGGGCCACCCCTGGCTGTCCCATCCACCACCACGCCCCGTGTCCAGGTCGGAGGGTGCCTGAGTCACGCTGAGGACACCGGCGGGCCGGGCTCCGCCCACACGCTCTCCTGGAGCTGCTGGCCCCCGGCCACAGGCCTCCCCGCCCCGGTGCACGGCGCCCCCACGCGCCCCCACAAGCGTGAGTCAGTAACAGCCTGCTTAATATTTTATGGCCGACACGCAGTGGCCTGAATTATTCACCCTGTAACCAAGGTACAGCAAATGAGGGGGTCCTCGCATGGGGGGCCGCAGGGGCCCACCTCCCGGATGCCGCTGGGCTCGCTCTGGGGAGGCCCGAGACATTGGACACAGTTGGAGCACCAGTTCCGCCTGGAGCCATGCCCTGGCGGCACCCCGGGCGGGGGTCCGTGACCCCGGGGTGCCCAGCATGTCCGAGAAGCCGGCGCAGGGACGGGGCGCAGAGCGGGACGGGAGCAGGAGGGACAGGCGCGTCACGGCCTCCTGCCAGGCCAGGGGCTGCGTCCCCGGCCCAGGTCAGGGTGAGGATGGCGACCGGTCAGCACTTGGGGCAGCTCCGCCCCTGGCCTGCACGCCCGGGGCAGCCCGGGCACCAGGTGGGAAGGGGCCGCTGCCCAGCTGCTCTCTGCTGCCACGGCCCGTAGGCGGGAAGGGGGGCGCCGGCGCTCACCGGGGCAGCTGTAAAGCAGGGGCGAGCCCGAGGCGAGAGGGAGATGCGAGTGACAGCAGGGACGGTAGCGAGAGGCGCCTGTTGCTCCGGCCCAGCCCCAGGGCGCCCGGCAGGGCTGCCTGCACTGTTCCCTCCCGCGACTGAGGAACGGGGGGCGCGGAGGGCTGAGGTCGCCCCGCGAGGCAGTGGAGTCGTGACTGGGGGCTCGGTCCGTGTCACTGCAGAGCCGGCAACCCCACACCCGCTGTGCCCACGCCGTCCGCCGGCCGGCGCCCACGGCCCTTCTCCAACCAGCTCGGTGGCTCTGCCAGGCTCAGCCCTTGGGGGCCGGGACCGCCTAGGCCACCGCGTGGGGAGGGCCGGGGCGAGGCTGGACGGCCCTGGGCAGGCGCCCCCGCCTGCCAGGCTCTCCTCTGCTCCAAGCGAGGCAACAGCGTGCTGCCCTGAGGGGCCCTGGGCCCGCGTGGGGCCGCCCGTGGCCAAGCTGTATTTTAGGAGTCTGCCCGCTCATGCCCCCGGGCACTGCTGGCCTGGGGTGCCCAGGTCCCACCAAGTGCCGATAGGCCCAGCCTATTCGCCAGCTGCCTAGAAAGGGGCGTTCTGGGGGACGGCGGGCCACTGGGCCCCACCCCCTCCAGACCCCAGTTCTGGCTGCAGTGACAGCCAGGGAAAGACTTCCTGTCCCAGCCCTGACCTGGCTGGCCCCCACCCTGGGCGGGAGCGCACCCCGGCCTCCAGCCTCAGTTTTCACACAGGGCCTTTCCCCGCCTCCTGAGAGAGAAAGGGCCTCGGGGTGGCCAGGCCTGGTCCCTGCCCCGCCCTCAGGGTCGGAGAGCCCCGGGGCCTCCTCAGCTTACTCTCCCCAGGAGGCCTCTGCTTCTGGGGTGAGAAGCCGCCAGCACCTGAAACTGCTGCCCTCTACCCGCCTCGCCCGCTGCCCACTAGAGCCTGACCGCCTGGAGCACACCCCCACAGCTAGGCCAGCAGAGGCACCTGGCCACTCCTGCTTGACCGGTCCCTGTGGGCTTGAGGCGCCGGCCACCATCAGCAAAGCCATTGCCTCTTCTTCCCCTTGGGAAGAGGCCGTGAGGGCACCCTGGAGCCCAGAGCAGGGCGCTGGCAGAGGGCGCAGGGCCGGGAGGGTTTGCTGGAAATCTCGGCCCCGAGTGGTGCCTGTCGCCTGGCCAGCGGGGCCAGGGCGTGCTTGGCCCACAGTACCTGTCAGACAGCAGCGCCAGCCCCCCTCCCCCCCAAAGCCGAAGCCGCCGCAGGTCTGCAGCTCTAAGGCGGAGCCCAGCTGCCAGCCCCGGGGCCGCACCCCACCCTCCCGGCCCTGCCTGGGTGACGCCAGGGTCACCGCCTCTGCCACTCGGCCTGTCCCACTGCCCCGCACCCCAGGCGCTTGCTCCAGTCCCCTCCGTCAGGTCACCATGCGCCCAGCCAGGATGTGGAGCGGGAGCAGGGCGCACCCCCTCCGGGAAGCCGGCCCACGGGAGCCAACAGGCCGAATCAGCGAGGGAACAGCACTGGGCACGCTCTGGCCGTCCCGTGGCAGCCCCCACGCGTCCCCGGCCCAAGGCCGCCACATCCCGAGCGCAGCCAGGGCCGAGCAGTCAGGGTGCCGGAGCCGGGTGCAGGGGCACGTGGGGTGAGGGGGCGGCTCTGCGGAGCTCGGGATGTGATGGGCTCGGCTGGGAGGGCCGGAGGGACCGTGGGGCCGGGGGTCTGAGCCCCTGTAAGGCGCTGCAGCGTGGTCCACCGGCCAAGGCTGGGGCTCCAGACTCCCCAGTCTCTCAGGGCCGAGGCCGGAAAGGAGGGGGCCCCTGCGCGATCACGGGGGGCGTGTGTGTGCTGGGGGCAGCACCCCCGGGGCTCGGCGGGGTCCCGCCAGGCCCCGAGCAGGGATGGTGCTGGCACGGGAGACAGGGCAGAGCAGGTGGCGGCAGGCGGCAGGTGAGGTCCTGGGGACCGGGCAGGAAGCGGCTGCCAGTCCGGGAAGCTGGCTTCCCTTCTCACAGGTGGGCAGCGCCCGGCCAGGCCAGTCGGGCCCCGTGACCCAGGCTTGGGCCAGGCCTGCAGGCGGAGGCTGGCCCGCCGGGGGGCTTCTCCCGACCCCTTTCTCAGACCCTCTGCCTGGGTCAGGGCTTTGGGGTGGAAGGGCAGGCCCCGCCGCAGGTGACCGCAGCAAACAAAGGGAGGCCTGGGCCGGGGACAGTGGACGGGCCTGGGCAGAGGCCAGTGTCCAGGAGGCAGGAGCTTCTGTGGCCCGAGAGGCGCTGTCTCCTAAGGGGCTGGGTCCCTGCCCTGGAGCCCCGGGGGGCCTCCTGCCCCAGCTCACGGCCGTCCGTCCCCCGTGGCCCGGCTCCATGGAACTTTGCACAAAGGCAGGAAAAAGGGGGAGTCCCTGGTGACCTGAGAGGCTCTTGAGTGATTAGGGTCTGGGCCGCAAGTGGGAGACAGGCCCAGAGAGGGGGTGCAGTCTGGTCAAGGTCACGCGCCGGCCAGCAGGACCTCGGTCGGTCAGTTGGCTTCTCCGAGGCACTGCTTCTGTGTCTCTCAAATGGGCAAATGACTGGTGCTGGGGGCCAGGCTACAGCAAGCAGGCCCCCATGGGCACGCAGCGGCAGGAGCTGTGTCAACTGCGTCCTGTCGCCTGGCCGGGCACCTTCAACCTCAGGGCAGGGCCGGGAGCCCAGCGGAGGAGGCGCCTCCAGGGAGCCACCCAGGTCTCCGGGCAGCAAGGTCTCCGGCGGCTGTGACTGGGAGTCCCTGGGAGGGAGGACCCCCAGACTCAAAACTCAACCCCAAGCGTACAGGCTGAGTGCAGGCCCCCTCCCGCTCAGGGCCGGGGGTGGGGGGGAGGTGGTGGCAGGGCGAGCGGCAGGTGCTTCCGGACGCCAGCAGGCAGGCAGGCAGCAGCCCCAGCCTGGCTGGGGCCAGGGATGGGTCTGGACAGCCCCGGCCTCCGGGGGGGGGGGGGGGTCAGAGGGACCGCCCCCAAAGAGCAGCAGCCCCGAGGGTCTGCCCCTCCCTGGGGCCAGGCTCCCTCAGGCCGCCCTGCCCCTCAGCGCCCGCTGACCCGCCCGAGGTGTCCACCTTCCACTGCTGTCCACCTTCCACTGCTGCACATAGTTTGCCCCTGCTGGCCCAGGCCTCCCTGGCGGATCGAGTTTCCCATGGCAGCTCCAGGCACCCTCCCTGCAGTGGGGCGCTGCCTCTGCCTGGGGAGCTGAACCCCCGTGAATAATTCATGCGCTTCACGGAAGGCGGCGGCAGGCTCACGGGAGCAGACAAGGCAGCAGGCTGGCCGGCCAGGGCCCTGGCACTCGGCGTCCCCTGCCCTTCAGCCCAGGCCAGCTGGAGCGTCTGCCCCTAGTTCTATGGGGCCCCCAGTTGGGGGGGTGTCGCCCTCCCTCCCAGGTAGGAGGCCACGCGGGCACCAGTCCTCCGTCCAGGCGGGCAGGCGCCGCCCCGCTGGCCAGCCGCCCCTCCTGCCCGAGGCCAGCCTGGCAGACGCACAAAGGCGAGTCCTTATCGGCCAGGACACGCGCCCCGGGAGCAGCGGGGGACGCGTCCGCCTCGCCTTCCTGAGACTCAAGGCTCTGGGGTGGGGCTGGCAGCTCGTCAGCCCCGGCCACCTGGCCCGAGTCCCAGTCGTGGCCAGCACCTGGCAGGCCCAGGCGAGGTCAGGGCTCACAGGGCCCCTAGTCTGACGGGGCACCCACCTTGCAGCGAGTCTTCCCGAGGCAGGGCCCTAACTGGGGGAGCCCTGTCCAAGACCCATGCTCCTTGGGGGGCAGCGGGGGCTTCCAACCCCCTGGCCAGCACCCCTGGGCAGCCAGCCTGGCTTCCTGGCTCGTGGCCTGCGTGCATGGAGCAGGAGGGTGAGCGCAGCCTCGCCCTCCTTGGGCCTCCTGCCCCTCAAACAGGGGGTGGGGGCGGTCACTGGAGTGGGGGAAGGCCCAGCTGGGGCTCCCTAGCCCACCCCAGGGAGTCTGGGAAGGCCCTGCTCTTCCTCCCACTCACGTCGAGAGGGGTTGTGCGAAGGTGCCCAGGCCAGAGCTCCAGCATGGCCTGCGGCAGGCTGGTACATGCCCAAAGGAATACGTGACTTTGGCCAGTGTGCCAGCACCCCGACTCCAGCTGGTGCTGGGGGGCCCTCTGCTTGCTGGGCCCTGGACAGCTCCCCACAGGGGAGATATTCCAGGTTGGGTGGCCGCTGGCTACCAGGAAGGCCAGGCGCAACCATCCCGAAATGCTCGTGGGACAGGCACCCCCAGATCCCGCCGCCCCCCCAGAGGCCCCGTGAGGGGCGTGCTTACTCTGGGTAGTGCCCGATGAGAAGCCTCAGGGAGGGGAAGTCTCCTTTGGCGGCGGCGTAGTGGATGGGCAGGGCGCCCGTGTCCGTGGCCACGGTGGGGTCCCCACCGCCGTGACGCAGCAGCCAGTCCACCACCTCGGGGTGGCCAAAGCGGGCGGCCAGATGCAGGGCTGTGGCACCAGAATTGTCTGTGTCCTGCGGGGAGAGTCTGTTAGCACCGGGAGGCCGAGCCCCCACCCCGCTTCCCGCCACGTCCTGCCCCCTGGCGCCGGGAGGCGGTGCCCTCGGGGCTCCTGCCAGCCCACCGAGGGAGGCCGGCGCGTGACTGACACAGCGGCCGTGGGGCGGACGCCTCATCCCTGCAGGGGCCCGTGCTCAGGGCTCAGGGTCACCCGGGAGGGAGGGAGGGCGCCGTTGCAGGCGCGGGTGATGAGGCTGGGCGGCCTCAGGGGTCAGGTGGGAGGAGACCTTGGTGCACCCCAACCTCCGGGCTGGATCTGCTCCCCAGCAGACTCCCTGCCGCCTCCCCTCCTGCACGGGGACAAGATGTTCTTCCTGCCCTGGGGAGGACGAGGAAGCTCTGGGCCCCGGTGGGCAGGGCTTGGGCAGCCAACCACTAGTGGCAAGTGTGGGCTTGGGTGAGGCCCATCCCTGCACCCCAGGGGTCAGGCCGAGGTCTGGGCCCAGAGCTGTTCTACGCCTCCTTGGTGAACACGCCACCGAGGGTCTATTTCCGCGAGGGGCTGCTGGCTGCTGGCAAGGTGGACGGTCATCGAGGCTGTGTTTGGGGGAGAGTGGGCACCTTGCAGGAAGGGCAGACTCCCGGCAGCAGGATGAGGGGGCGCAGGAACCCGGAGAGGCTGGGGCAGCAGTGGGCCTGGGCGTGGGCGCGGGGTGCAGAGAGGTGCCCCTGGCCGAGAGGTCGCCTGGGTGCCAGGGCGGCCTGGGGATGTGCGTCAGTGGGAGGAGAAACCGGCCTCCTGCTGGGAACCCCAGGTGAGGGGGCAGGGTGGGCATGCCTGGCAATTCAGCAGCACCCGCTGCCCAGTGGGAGGCTGGTGCCCACCAAGAAGGAAGCAGGACCGGGGGGCCGAGAGCGAACAGCTCCCCGGATGCTGAGCCGGGCTGAGGCCCTCTGTGCCTGGATGCCCAGGAAGATGGAGAGCTGGCTCAGCCGTCCCCTGCGCCCAGGGCTGCCCAGCGGTGACCCACATAGGACCATGGGGCTCTGAGCCCCGCGGCCCAGCAGCCTGGGGACCATACACGCAAGTTGCCAGGAGTCTGTTGGCGCTCGGCCTCCAGGTGGGTGGCAGGACGCCGAGGGCCGCGGGCCTGAGGGCTCTGGCCCGTCCTGAGGTCCAACAGTTGTGGAGGCCCCAGGAGCCCCACGCACGCTGCCTGGGGATCCAGCTCCCCCTCCCCCTCCATCACTCCACCCCAGCACCCAAGGGGGGCTCAAGGGCAGGGGACTTGATAAGCTGGCACAGGCCACCTGCCCCTCCATGCCCTCTGCAGGGGCCAGGAAGGACAGCATCTCCTGAGAGTGGGCACGGACCTCATGCCAGGAACTCCTGCTAACAAGCCAGCCAGGAGATAGGGGCTGGGCCACCTCCCAGAGGCGGGGGTGGGGGTGTCTTGCCATCCTGGGGCCGGAGGGCGCCTGCCCCCTGGGGCCCAGCCAGCTCCAAGTTGCGCCCGCCTCCTCTCCTACGCCAAGCCACCGGAAGTCGAGCTGGCTGGAAAATCAGTTCTCCCCCGGCGCTGGCTCCCCCACAATCACGGCATCAGCCACACTCCGGCCCAGCCCCCAGCCCGGAGGACCTGGCCCTCGTGCCCACTCCGTCCCCATCGCTGTCCCCTGTTCCTGAGCAGGCTGTGCTGGGCTGCGCTTCCTGTTCCCTGCGTCCAGAATGCCGTGGGCGCCTCTGGCCACCTCCCAGCCAAGGGCGCTTCTGGGCCTCCCCGCCCACCTGGCCAGAGCTCCGGAAAGCTCCCGCTCCTTGGCCGGGGCAGCTGATGTACTCCTGGCCCGCGGGTGGCCAGCGTCGCCCCCGTGGGCTGGCGGGTCCCGGAGCACCCGCGGCCCAGGTGCCTGCCAGGTGCTCCACTGGCAGCAGGAGACGCTGCCGCCTCCGCTCAGGGGCGTCCAGCAGCCTGGGCCGCTCGGTGAGAGCAAGCGGGGCCGCAGGCGTGGCCACTGGAGATCCTGCTGGACTGGGGAAGCTGTTTGGGTCTGGGAGGCCAGAAAGACTCCTGGGGGCCCCTGTTTAACAGGCCCACACCTCCCGCATGCTCTGACCTCACCTCCTCTCAGCCTGGGGCATGGGGCTCCGCGCACAGCCTGCGCCAGATGTGGTGAGAGGACCAGGCCTCTGGTTCTGCTGGCCAGGCCCTTCCCAGGGCTCCCTGGGCAGCGCTCCGCCCCCCCTCCAGGAGAGTCCAGTTGGGTCCAGTTTCCCTCTGATTCTGCATGGCCCAACCCCTCTTCCAAGCGCCACCTGCCCAGGCACCTTGGGCCCTGGGGCTGCCCCACCCAAGGGCTACCCCACCCCAAGCCCTCTGGCAGCTGAGCGGGAGGTGCCCGCCTCACCCATCCTTGCGCTCAGGGGGCCTCGCGCCAGAAGGCTCTGGGCCAGGAGACCCCCGGGCGCCCGTGAGGGCTCGGACCCACCTGCACTCCGCAGCCGCCCTGGGAGAGCAGCCACTGCAGGCAGGCGAGGTGGCCGGTGGCGGCGGCGTCGTGGGCC